TATCGGTGACCCAAGCCGCAAGACAGCAACACTTTTTATTCTTTTGGTACAGGGAACTGAACTCAGAATCTTGGGCTTACTAGGCGGGCTCTGTACTGCTGAGCCATCTCCCCAGCCCTGGCAGCAGCTTCGACTATGGCTGTGCCTTCTTCCCACGTCTGGGGATCGCACCCTCCCTGCTGACACATACACTTTAAGAAACTATTCAAGTCTGAGGAAATCTAAGCAGATGAAGGCCGCGCTACTGCTGTAAATGCTAATCCTGAAGCCGCCTGGAAATGCCTGAGCTGTGACGGTCCACACCCAAGCCTGCTGGCCTCCCCGTGGGGCCTGGCCGTGGACTGCTGGCTGCCCCCAGCTATGTTCTCTACTGTCTCATTCGCACCCAGGGCTCAGAAGGTTATGGATGAAACCATGGCCACAGTTGGGCAAACCAAATCTGTGGACGCGTGGAAGTCAGTGTGGCCACTTTTAGGACACAGCTCAGGTGACAGCTTTCACTATGTGCAACTAACTGTAAAGAAATTAATTTTTATTCCTTTTATGTAAAGCCATTATATTGTGCAAATGAGTAAAAATTATGATGGAACACAACATAAACCACATTTTTTATATTTTGTATCTTAGGCTGTATCTCTATTAGAAAGGGCTTTACATCTATATTAAGAACCAATAAAGACTTGCAGACAGTGTTAAACACACAGTTTGGGATGTAAAATGGATTTTATGGATAATAGCAATTAAATTGTGCTCAGTCAAAATTTTTATTTGCAAGCAGCAGAGACGCACTCTGGATGTCTCTAGCAGGGTTGAGCGGCTTCCCTGGAAGGTAGTGATTTGCAGCCCGGAGGGGGAAGGGTCTCACGGTGGGGGTGGGCAGCGTGCAGGCTTTAATATTCTGCTGCCCTTAGAGGGAGGAGCCCTACATCACCTCAGGCGCCGCCCAGGCCACATGGGTTCTTTCCATCCTCGCATTTTTCTGTGCCTCTCGCCCCGCACCCATAGTAGACAGATTTGCCGAACCCCAGAGATTTGTGACACTGTACAGGAGGGGGTGACAGACATGGACACTCTCTCTCCTCCATTTTCACTGTGGTGGGCAAGAAATTTAAATGCAAGACCAGAAGCCAATAAAACCAAATCACAAGGCTCCGCTTGTGAAGATTCTATCTCTGAACCAAAACTTCTTCAGCTTTCGTGCTAGGCCCACCCCATCAGCGGGCTGTGGTCAGTTAGTGCTCAGAAGCAGGACATGGGGTCCTGGCATCTGCTTATGGCTCTGAACGCTTCCCACAGGATTCTCGACAAATCACTCCATCGCTCCTCGCTTCTCCTTATCCAAGAGAAGGCAGAGATATTTTACCTTCCTCGAGGGGACATCATCCTTGGGATCCCCGATGTGCTAATTAAGCACAGGCATTCTCAAGGAGGGATCCCGCTATAGGCAGGCGCACACGCTTCCTTGCCCTGCTGGCACCGACTGGTCCGGGTGCAGGGCGGCTTGCGGAGTCACAGTGCGGCGCACAGCAGTAGGCTCCATCCTGCAGTCTGCCCCTTCTGCGCCTCAGCTGCCTCCGTAGAGATCACAGGAGAGACAAGTTCTGGAAGGCGCGTGACCATTAAAGCAGTGTCACCGAACTCATGGTTTCTGGGGGTGAGGAATATCCAGGCTTGTGAGCACCCACAATTGGCATGGAAAAAGGAAGTGTGGTTCACCCTGCCGTTGGGGAAAAAGTGCTGCGCAGCAACCACAGATTCTGTTCCACGGGGGCCACGGGGCTTGAAGACAAATGGCCTCGGAAAACCACAAATGCAATATGATTGCTGGAGGATTCTCCTTTCTCTCTTTGCTTCTGAGATGAATCCGTGGACTGTCCAGGGCTGCCTATTTTACGAACCCTTTCCAAGTGGCTCCTTTCCTCTGTAAGCCAGCCATATGGCAGTGGCAGAGGTGGCCAGGTGGCCTTCCATGGGCTCTACGCAGACAGCCGGCTCCGAGACAGCCCGACTCAGTGTCTGCTATAGGAGCTCTATCCGGGTGGGGTGACTGCAGCCCAGGGGTCCGCGGGGCTTACTGGGTAGGGAGGCGCCTCCCCACGGGGCAGACAGGACATGAGGACGGCCTGTTAGGGCCCCAAACAGCACTTTCTTTCTGTTTCAGTGCCAATATGTCAGCGCCAGTGACTTCAGCAGATTGTCTACTGCAAGATTTATTTTTAAGATTAAAATTATTGATTTTTCTCACTATCTCATCAATGTTATTTAGCAAAATCTCTGCTGATAATGTGGCCGCACTGACATAGTTCTAAATCCTCCAGAGGATGCTATCACGCACCGGCTTGCTGCTTTTCTGCAGACATCTGCATTCCTGGCTGATGTTTCAATCTAGATGTCTGATAAAATAAAATTGTACTTTAATGCCAACGAGAATTTTGTTACCAAAGCAATGCTATTTTGATACATTGATAATAAAGTGCTTATTGTTGCTTTGTGCATCTCCTAGAATGAAGCATTATCTTTTCAGAAGGTAATTAAAAGGAGCATTTTTAAAAATATAGGGGCCTGTGGGATAGCTCAATGCACTAAGCGCCTGCTTAGGCAAGCACAGGACCAAGGTTCGATCCCCAGCACCAAATGCCATGCCAGCTCTGCCCCCAGGGCCAGCTGAGCCAGCCACAGAGTCCAGAAGTAGTGGCGCATGCCTGTAACTCCAGAGCGGGGGAGGCTGAAAGCAGAAGGATCCCCACAAGTCTGAGCTGTGTACCGAGATCTTGCAACAACCAAATACATATATAGAAGGAAACATACACATATACAGAACATATACCTATATAGAAAGAAACAGTGAGATCATTTGCAGGTGGGGAGGGGACCAAGGGAGTGAGGGAGAGGAAAGGGAAGTGAAAATCTTGTAGGCAGCTGAATTAGATAGAAATATCAAAGGCAGTCAGCAGGGCCAGCCTCTCAAGGAGACAAGATGGAAGACAAGGTGACTTCACAACTTGGAAGAGACAGATGCTCCCATGTGGGCCACACCTGAAGACCAAGACAGCTACATACTTCCCCAGGGATGGGCAGCAGGCACTGATCTCTAAATAGGTCTCTATCACCTTGAAAGAGTGCAAGTGAGTCACTGACCCAACTCCCAACAGGAAGAGACCCTGTCCTGTATTCATGCCCACTTGCTATGTGACTCACTGCCTCATTTGGCACTGGATTTAATCAATTTTACCTAAGCAATGGTGCTTGTAATCTCATTGGTTGACCATAGTTTTGTCCCACCTCATGCCCACCTAAGCGAGTTCCCGTGTTCTCCAACACCTTACACCCGCCTCACCACATGGTTTTCCTCTATAAAAGTCCCTGGAAGAGACAGCTTCCTGGGGACCACCTGCTTGGGAGGCCTCCCTCCTGTCCCTCTATCAGACAGGAGCTTTCTTTCCCCAGTAAATTTATTCTGTTCATAACCTCCATTTGTTCCTAAGATTCATTCTTCAGTTTTAGAGAACATGAACTCATCCTAGGTACCTTTCAGGTCAATGGCTTCATTTTTCCTCTGTATCATTTGGAGGTCACCCACCCTGAGATCAGTTTTTCTCCCTGCATCCTTTGGAGGTTCCCTGTGTCAAAAAGACTTAAGGTACATCCCTTACATGTACCAAGCACCCACGAGGAATGCAAGCATCACATATGATAAACATAAGCTAATGATCATAACAACAATGAGAATGGAAATGGGGAAAGAGATTTAGGGGCCGAAGGCGGGAGGGGTGGGAAGGCATGACAAGAATCGGCTCATGTTGGGTACGTGCCTCTGATCCCTGAGACAGATGTGACTTTCACATACTGCAAACATGTACCAATAAAATAAAAATTCTAGCACACAAAGGAAAGACCACAATTCTACAGAAGGAATTCTTTCTCTTTCTGTGAAGCACCCGCGCATCATTCAGCCTCTCCTCTCGGGATGGAGCATCCAATATCTGGAGCTGAGAGAAGCAGGCTCTTCTTATGGCCCACACTGGAGAAGTCTCAGCTCCCACATGAGGGCTGGGTCCAGGCTGAGTGGCCTGATAGGAGGGTGGGGTGAGAGAAGGCCACTCAGTGCACAGGGACAACAGGAAGCAGAGTGAAGGGAGGAGCCGGGAGGGAGAGAAACCCTTCAGGGTCAGGGCCCCAGTGACCACCTCCCCAACTACACCCTCCTTTCTACCAGGGAACTCATCCGTGGGCCAATCCACTCAAAGGGACAGCACCCCTTGATCCTTTCAGGGGTTGGGGGGACATCCAGATCTAAATTATAACAACTACCAGCTTTTCTTCTCTTGAATAATCTTTCCTTTGGTGACATTTCAGGGACTAAATAAACACAATGAGGTTGACAAGATGTCCACTGCACACAGGAAGCCCCTGAGGTCTACACCCTCACTGACCTGAGCGCCCCCTGCCCAGGCCACCTCTGAAATGAATCTCCCTTTTTTTTTTTTTTTTCCGGTACCGGGGATTGAACTCAGGATCTTGTGCTTGCCAGGCAAGCGATCATTCTACTGAGCTCTCTCCCCAGCCCCTATCTCTGAAATGAGGTTGGGGTGCAGGAACTCCTAGGCCCTGCCCGAGAATCCAGAGCAGTCCCAGAGGTCCCTTCCACCCTTCTGTCTCAGCCAAGGTCAAATGGAGGAAAAACCTGCGGATCCTTCACCCTGCTCCTTGTCTTCCTTTGTAACACTACTGTCACCAAGCATGATTGTAAACTACAATGTATGTTTGTGGTGATCAATTTAAAACATTTATTAATTTTTTATTGGGTTGATATTTTCTTTTTTCTGAAACAAGCAGAAATGGAGTCCACCAAAATAGAGAAGAATGGAGCTGGAGGACCACAAGGCAGAAGTAGCAATAAGCGAGTTCTTCAGATGAGGAGAAAGAACTCTAACTGAAGGGATGTTGGTCACTGCCTAAGTTCACTTGACACTGGGCATGTGGACACTTAGTGTCCTTACCTGAGTGGTGCGACTCTCCCGATGTCTCTGGAACGATGACATCCCTGTGCCGCTCACGCATACTTGTGAGTACCCATCATTCTCAGCGAGACCTGTGGAGTCCACACACAGAGGTCAAGTTGTGCCAACCTTCCCCCAGCAAGGCAATTCTTGTGCCACCTATCAGACTAGCGTTGCTGTTGTCCCCTGAGTAGTAGATTCACAACAGAAGAGAGGAGAAGGGCTGTCATGGTACCCGGCAAGAAAAGAAGCGCACCCACAGTGAGGCGAGGACAGCGCTGCAGAGACGCAGCGTAGTGGGACGTGGTGGGTGGGACCCTGGCCCTGAACCACTGAGGGCTGGGGCACTCGGGGTCCCTAGATATGGGGATAGAGAGTGAGGGACACTGAGCCCCACCAAGAGGAGAGGAGCCTGAGAGCTTCTTGGGGGCGGCTGCCACTCAGAGCTGAGGTCCAGGAAAGGAAGAGGGCAGGGGGCAGGGCTGAGCTGGCCGGAAGGACGCAGCAGGCTGGTTGGCCAGGGACGGGGCGGAAGTGCACAGTGAATGGCCAGCGCTGAGAGTGGAGCCGCTCCGGAGGGCGGGGCTGGATCTACTGCAGGGCTCACAGGAGTGGACGGTGCCTGAGGACCGCAGGGGGCAGTGTGGAAGCCACAGCCTCGCGCAGAGGGAAGGGTGGGTTACAGTCTCCTCCACACAAGCTTTAGGAACAAGGGCATTTGAAAACACCATGAGATAAAAGGCAAATTTACAAAGAACAGCATAGGCCTTTAAACACAGGAAATGAAAGGCGTTATTATTCTTAAAACAGCCTATAAATCAAAATAAAGGGCCGACTCTCAGATTTTCAAAAATTAACAAAGAATACACATAGAAAGCCAAGAAGAAATGATATAAATGACCAGAAATATATGTTCATGTTTATTGAAAATTCAAACATGCATATAAGATTATATTAACTGACTTATTTTATCTACCTGAATAACAGAGATCACAATATTTATTAAAGAACTTTCAGACTTAATGCAAGACAAACTGTGAGGTGAGGCTCCACATCCCATCCCTGAGCAGGGAACTGTCAGCATTTCAGTTTTCCTGTCTTTTAAAAAATTACAGAAAGCATGGCATTTCACCTGTGAACACACACAGCAGCACGTGTCGCCTGCTGCCTGTGGAGACACAGTCCCTTCAGCAGCACAGCTTGCCAGCACTGCTGCTGTCCCACGGGGCCCAGAGCTTGGCGGAGCAGAGACTGTGGCCTGCAGGAGCAGACGCAGGTGGCAGGACAGTGAGGGTTAGGCAGGCCCTCAGTGTGGCCTCACGTGGTGACAGAGGTACACCGCAGCAGGGCAAGGCGCACACCCATGGGGCGGCCTCCCCTCCCGCCTTCCCTCAGGGCAGATGCAGAGCTGAGGAGCAGAGAGTTCAGACTCAAGAGAGCTGTGTGCTCCCTCTTCCCTTCTACTCAGAGCAGCAGCAAGGCCTCGGAGTAAGCCGAGCACATCATTTGCTCCTAAGCTCTGATTTTAAGAAGTCACACTTGGCCAGACTGCTACCCGGGCTGGCGTTTTCCGGAGCCTCAGTATCCTGCCCTGGGCATCTTGTATCTCTGTTCAAAGAAGGCAGGTGGAGGCTCATGGAAGGAGCGCCCCAAAGGTGAGCTACATGAGGCATAAAGCCCACCCAGACCCCCCGGGAGCCCTTGGTGGCCCTGTGAGCTCGAGATGAGAAGATGTGACAGGCTTCGGGAGGGGGAGGAGGAAATGACTCTCAGCGTTTGCTGAAGGAGCCCTCAACCGAGGATACCAACAGAAACCAGTGGTTCCGGACGTGCTGCTCCTGCGCCAGGCATGGCTCTGGTCCCTGGAGCTTCCTGTGCTTTGAAAATGATTTTTTTAAAAAAATGTATTTAGTACAGGGTCTACAGGGTCTCACTACACAGATCGGACTCATAGTGATCCTGTTTTCAGCCACACAAGCGCTTGGATTACAGGAGTGCGCCACCATGCCCAGTCTCAATCGCCAGCTCATCAAACCCCGGGGGCAGAGCCACCACAGCAGGTCAAGGATTGAACCCCAGTCTCTGTGTTTGAAAGCAGGCTCTTTAATCCGCTGAGCTATATGGTCAGTCCTGAAAGTGATTAAGAGTGTCCAACTCTGGGATCCTAAAGTCTGTGTGTGGGATCTGTAGTCCGTTCAGGGCTTTGAAATGGAAAAGCATACACTTTAAAAGTCCGTGGCACTGAGTTTGACGTGCCTAGCAGGAACATCGCTTCTCACTTCTCGGGACCCCACGTTGTCCGGCGTCTGGCCCCGCCCACCGGCCCCGCCCACCGCCTGCCAGCCCCGCCCACCGGCCCCACAGTGCTCCATCATCCTTGACATCCTCTGCAGCGTTCTAGACCCAGGACCTGCGCTCTCCAGTCCCAGAACTTGTGGCTGTTGCCACTGCCCCTCACCTTCTCAGTGCCGCTGTCTCAGCTCGTCACTCCGGTGGTCTTGCTGTCAGGCCTTCCCTCATGGCTGGCTCTAAGTTCCTCCCTGGCGCGTAGCAGACCACCCCGCCTTCCCCCTGACCTCTCTAAGCTCCGGATGTGTCATCCTCACCCGGTGCACAAGGAGCCTCCTTTCTCGCAGATCCGCCTCAGAGCCAGGCTCCTCGTAGACGCCCACAGCACCAGAGTCCGCTGTCTCCCCTTCCCAGAGTCACGCTGGGCTCTTGCTTTTCTCGGCAGTATGCGTGACCCGAAAAGGCCCAGGGAGGGATCTTGTCAGCGCCCTGGATCCCATTTCCTGCGCTGCCATTGGACACATGGGAGCACCACCAGGGACTGTTCTGAAAAACATCGCGTGTTCCCCTCCCCCACTGCCGGCCGTGGGTTTCTCAGCTATTATCCTGCCTGTGTGTGGTGCGTAATGGTCGCGTTCATCATGGGGGGCTGGCGAGTGGACACAGCACATCTGCCTGCTTGCCTGTCCTCTGCCTCTCTCGTGGTCTCCTGATCTTTTGTGGAAGGCCTGTCTCCTCACTTCCCGTTACCTGTCTCCGGTGCTGCTCCTTGTATGTGCGTGGGTCTCACGCGATAGTCAAGCTGCGTGTGATCCATCCCATTTGCCGTGATGGCCTCAGGATGCACCCGCTTCCCGGAGCGTGCCTCAGTGCATTCCTGTGGATGGCAGAGTGGCGCTCCAGTGTGTATAAACGCATTTTTATCCGTTCATCTGCTGATGGGTGTCGAAGCTGCTTCTTCCAAGATTTAGCTATTACAAGCCAGGCTTCTAGAATCACAGGCGTGCTTGGAGCACTGTCATAGCTAACCTAAGCTGCAACTCTTCACTCTTATGGGAAAATCTGTAACCTGTCTTTGGCACTCACGGGAAGACAGCCAGAGCGGCCAGCTGAGCTGCATGCCCTGCCCTGTACCTCTTCTGTGGCATCAACAGCATTCAGTGTTTGCAGGGAGGCTATGTCGTGTGGCTCCATCAGGGGTCACCACGCCCTGTCCTGCCCAGCACAGGGCCTCTGTGCCACTGGCGGGCTGGGCAGGCCCTACCCGGGATGGGGGCCCTGCCTGGGATGGGGGCCCTGCCTGGGATGGGGGCCCTGCCTGGGATGGGGGCCCTGCCTGGGATGGGGGCCCTGCCTGGGAAGGGGGCCCTGCCTGGGAAGGGGGCCCTGCCTGGGATGAGGGCCTGCCCTCCACAAGGGCCCCCTTGCTGTTCCACCTTGCGCGTTACTCTTTACCCTACAGTGGGAGTGAGACACCTTCCCCTGAACTTAGCATGCACTCTCACACCTGCCCAGAGGCTCCAAGTTGCACTGTGTGTCGATCCCCGTGGAGCAGGTAGGCCACTGGCACGATGCATTCAGGTCTATGTGTAAACAAAGCCTGGGCGCTGGGGTTGCAGCTTGTGTGGCCTGGAGGACTGAGTCCACCGCCCCGCACTCATCTCAGCATTGCACACAGCTCCTGTTTTTATCGGAGAAACCCACACGGCCCTTCTAGCTTTAAATCCCTCTATGATTTTATGATAACTACATGCAGGTAGCAGCCACTGAGCACCCACTTTGTTCTAGTGCCACCATACAAAACTCCTGTTGCAGCCTGTGAGGTGGGTTTGCAAATCATATTCATGTTTAAGACAAAAAAAACTGAATGACTGAGAAGTAGTCAAGTGTGAGCACTGGGGATTGGACCCAGGTGGGAAAATTCCTTAAGCCCCAGGAATAATGTCATAATAAAGAACAGCAAGTGGTCACCTCAATCCATCCATTTCCAACTGGTACCATACTAAGCAGTGGAGAAAATTTAATTAAGTGAGGCCCAAAGTAGACGTGATTTAATATGACATCAAAACACTGTGTACTCCGAGGCGGAGGAGCGGAGCCTACAGATGTCCCAGGGCTTGTTTCACCAAAGGCATTCATTGCTCGAAATAGCCAACTGCAAAATATTCCAGCGCACCCAGGGAAGGCTGCTGCCTTTGTGTCCAGCCTTTGAGCTTTGAGTCAGATGACAACAGTACAACTTCCAAGGACTCAGCCCAACCCCCACAAACACAGTGAGGCTGTGGAGTGTATATTTAGACACAGGTTATGTACTCCCAGCAGCGGCTCGTTGGGCAGCGGCGTGGATTGACCTCAGGCCCAGCTGGTGGAGGGCATGGCTTTGTGTTCTCAATGTGGGCCACAGGCAGGCAAAGGGCCGGGCACTGCTGGCGTGTGAGTGGGTGCCACAGCCCTTCCCCACAGCAAGCCTCTGTCAGTGCAGATAAGCCTTCTTGAGAGTGCAGCGAGGGCTCACAGCATGCAAATGAACCCTCTGCCACCGCCCCATGGACAGCTAGGCGGAAGTGCACCTGGCCAGGCTCAGTTCTTTAATTGCCATTTTCCCTGTTGCTCAGGAATAAAACTTTAATGGGTTGAGTGGCAAGACAGAAAATCATGCAGATGATAAAAGATGCTTGCTGGAAATTTTTATATCTCTATTTTTCCCCCAAACAAAAATCTAATATTCACAATATTTTGTATGGCATAGCTGAAACACTCCAAGTGACAACTGCTCTCTAATCTGATGATAAATAACCGCAAGTCCGAGGAATAATTAAGTACACAAAAAAAGATCTAAGTTATGTTTCCAGCGGTACAAGGATGGCAATTAAAGAAAGTGAGAGCTGTAATTACCCACGCATGACTGTGTTTCAGCAAATGAACAAACAGATCATTCTTTCTGGGATGCAGAGATAGCGCGTTGATACTGGCATTCCAGAGAGAGATGGTTGTCTCAGGAAGACCAGCTTCTGGTTCAGTTTGAACTTTGCATTTATTTTAAACATTTATTTTCATGATGTGGCTTTAATTGGAAATGACAGAGATGACCCTGTTCTGATAATGACCTATACTAATGACTGCCCTGTGACTTGCTGCGGTCCTGGACCTAGTGGAAGGAGCATAAGGCTCATGTGCTCACTTATGACAATCCGGGCTTGGACAGTTTTCCAGACTCTGCTCTCAGGAGCACGCTCGCCGGCTCCTTCCCAACCTCAGTGGAGGCTCTGCAGGCCCAAGCATCCAGGGCGCGACGCCGGATATTGTAATCATCCTGGAAAGTTTCAGGCTCCCAGAAATTCATGGTGCTCACAAAACCACATCGGCATAAATGTGTCAAGTTACTTTGAAAGACTGGACCTTCTGCGGCAATAATTTCCCTTTTGTGCACATAACTCTCCCGATTTTCAAGTGATCCTCAATCAGTGACAACACAGAACCAGCTGTATTTTAAAATCCAGCCCCTGTAAGCATGTAAAGAAGATTACATAAATCCGTGTTCCGGAGTTTGGGCCTAGAGTGCTTTCGCAGCTGGAGTTTATAGGCCTGGCCTTCCTAAAGACTCATTCTTAGGTAAGTTTCAAGGTGCACTCTCCACCACCACTTCTAGTTTGGCCTAGAGCACTCTTGTTTGCTTGGCCGGGTTTTAGTTTTGTTTTCACCTTTACATAAAGACTGAGCTCTTGCACTGACTGATCCAGGGTCTTTTCCTCAAGCTGTGACTTTGTGTCTCTGCACTTAAAACACAGAGAAAATCAAATATTTTGTTGAAGGG